AAGGAGAAGCAGCTCGAGGAAGACTGGTCGATGAAACTCCGAAAAGCGCAGGACGAGTTGGTATGTACTCTGTGTGAAAAAGGCTTACTTATCCTCCAAACATTTGTTCAGGCTCATAGCGAAAGGCTGGTCAAGGAAAGCGAAGGGCAGGCTGGATCAGCTCGGCAGGTTGTACGAAAAGTTGACGGAAGAGGAACGAAATCTTAGTCGAGAGAATGCTGAACTTAAGTGAGTCCAGCTCCCACTGCTCAAATCTTGTTCAGTTCTAATAAAGTGTCTTCAGGGAAAAGCTGCAAGAAATGGCTACGAAACACAAAAACGAAATGCAGGACCTCGTTGAGCAGAACACCATGGACCGGGAAGACTGGGAGAACGAGAGGCAACAGGTCTGTCATTTCATTTTTCTAGTTTTGAGGAAAGTGAGCTGACCATCTTCAGCTGGTTACAAAGGAATCCTTCCCTAGCTGCTCATCTGACAAAACTTCTAGTTGTTTTCCAGTTTTTTTTTAATCCCTAAAATTTATGGGAGTGCTATCATAGCGTAGAACGGCTTTCTTGTATAACTCTCACTCTTTTCTATTCATGAGATGGAACCTCTTAGAGTGCGCGTTTAGTTGATGTCGTCGTAGTCGGTCGGGGCGGTGTCAGAGGGGGGGGAGGGAATTCGGGCTAAGCTTGCTCCTGCTGTCTTTTATGTCAGATGGACGATCAGTGATTGATTTAGGAACAAAACAAGTGAGTAGGCCCATTTCATTCCTTTTGACACCGTCCTGACTGATTGCTAGATATTAAGTGTAACTAGTCCCTCCTTGGGAGAAATTCGAAAGCGTGCTCAAACAGCTTGAGATTCGGGTGGGCGGAGCGAGAGAACGACGTCATTGGTCCAACCCACCGGGTACAATTCTCTCGGTCAGGTCATCCAGCGTCCATAGGTGCTTGCACGCGGCGATTACGGGAGCATTGTCAAGGCTCACTATTTACATGAATGAGGAAATTATAATGAGT